GCCTATGGTCGCCGCCTCCTCCCTCCCATCCTCCTGCCATCCCCAATCTCCACATTGCACTGCACGGGCTCCTATGTCATGGCACTCACTGCTGCAGCCACACTATCTGTCTGGTAAGAGACAGGCCTGGGGTGAGGTTGGCTGTAGGCAGGGCAGAATGGGCCTACGCAGGTTCCCCTTCACTTCAGGGACAAGGAAGGCAGTGGAGGAGGCCACTTAGTAGACATGCCCTTGGGCCCTGCTGGCATGGGGCTCTTAACAGCCAAAGAGACCCTGAGCAGTCAGAAACTGCTTGTGATGGCCACCCTGTGTGTGGAAAGGAGGGGCGGGGTGAGCGGGGGGGTTGAAGTGGGGTACAAGCAGAAGTGGGACAGTCTGCCTACCCCTGCTGCCATCCTTATAGGAGCAAACCACATGACAAATCACAATGCCTAATTGCATGTGCCCGGGTACTTACGTGGGGTTCATTAGAAATGGGATCTCAGCTGCCACAGTGTTGCCACACGTATCCCAAAGTTGGTGCAGCATTCATGGCGAGCCCCACAGTTCTGTTGCCTGAGCCCTCTGCTATAGACATGTGGAGGGAGTAGAATGGCGCACGGGAAGCAGAAGCCACTTGTAGGCCAGAGCCCCTCTCAGGAGGCCAGGGCTGGATGTGCACCAGGGACCGTGGAGCAGTCTGAGCACTGAGGCATGATCTGATATATTTATCCAGACTGCAAAGTAAGCTGTTCCCTCCCTCCCTCCCTCCTAGGGATGTTCACAGACAGGTGGTTGTGGTAAAAGAAGAGTCTCTACACTCCATCTTGGCAGGTAACTGGCAATGGGCTGCCCCTGGTCCCCTGTGGGTGGAGAAGGGGTAGGGCAGGGCAGCTCAAGTCCCAGGTCTGACATGGAAGGGCCCCCTCAGCCTAGACAGAGAACCATAGCCAGGCTCTGGGCCCAGCCTGACGTATTCAGTTTGGCAGAGGGTTGCAGTTACGTTGCAAGGAGCTACAGTCTCTCTGGGGCATATCTGAATGGGTCCTTGAGAGGTGACAAAGAACCTGGTGGGTGGCAGTGAGAACAGCAGTCGTAGAGCAGAGACTTCGTGGTTGCTGAGTCAGCATTACAGTGCCTGTTGCTGAGACTATGGGAGCTATGGCTCAGATTTCTCCTTTGGTGCATGTGCAAGCACTTGCTGATGAGAACACACCTGGAACCCATTCTCTTGATGTCTCCCCAGGAAGTGATATGACAGTGTCACAGATCTTGCTGACACAGCACGGAATCCCAGTGATGAACCTGTCTGATGGGAAGGCATATTGCTTTAATCCATCACTTTCTACATGGTAAGCAAGCCACCCCCTGGCCCAGCCCCGCTGGGAGAGCGTCCGTCTTAGCTGGAGCCCAGAGCAGCAAACAAAGGCTGTCCTGGTGGTCAGGCCTGCCTGTCTCCACTTCTCCTGAGAGTTAGGCCCTGGAGTGGAAGCTACAGTGACAGCCTTGGTGGGCTCTCTGCTGGAGGGGACAGAGCTCAAACCCGCCTGTACAGGTCCCACTGTCCCCGAGAGAGGCTGGTGGCCCATAGCCTCTCTGCCCTCAGAGCCCATGCACAGGGGCACTTTCCTTTTTCTGTATTGTTCTCTGGGGTTACTTTGGAACAGGCATTTTAAAATTTTTGTGGTTGTAAATATATATTTTCCACCTGGTCCCATTAGCTGTCATCAGTGTAGGGGAGTTGGCTTCACAATAGCTTTGCCAGCACTTGTCAATTTTGTAACTTAAGGGGAGTCAGGTAGCACTTGCAGCTGAGATTGTGAATTAGTAAGGTTGTAGTCACCATGTCTGATGGTCGGTACCTTTCCCTGCCCATTTTGGTATTTGGAGCCCTTTTCTGTATTTGAAAAATCTCTTTATACATCAGAGATCTTAACCCAGACATGTAAACTGCATACAGTGTATACCAGCCACTCTGAGAAATTCTTCTTCTGCCTGTGTCTTTGGTCCTTCAGACCCAAGCTAGCCGTTTTCTAGCACTTCTGTTCAGAGTTGCCAGGCACAAGTTTATCCCACACTAAGATCTCTTTCTTGAGTTAAAAAACAAAACAATTAAAAAACTCCTCACTGCCTGCTCTTCCAAATTGCAAAATGTTGTGTATTATTCGTGATTACTGTAATAATGGAAACAAGCCAGCTATTTGAGAAGGGAAATGTTGA